GCCAAGTTTCAGCTTGTGAGCTGCAACCTTTCTCTTCCCATGATTTGGCAAATGACGTATACTCACAAACTGCCAAAACTGTGTTTAGCCACCTTAAAGTGTCCTTATTTACAGGGTTTGACTGTAGTTAGTCTTTTTAATATTTTATACGGATATCTTATTCGCTTTAGTCTTAGTATTTGTTTTGACCTTCCTAATTACAGTCAAACCCCGTTAATACAAACCCTGAGGGGGTCATACACAGTGTCTGTATTGCAAGGTGTCCTTATTAAGCAAGTTGAATTTAGAGAAAATGTAAGGGCTCAAAAAGTTGCTGCAGAACAAAAGGATTTTTAAACTGTGTACAAATATTTGATTGAACTAATTCTAACTATAAAATGTTTCCCCACCCCAATTTGACATGTGGGCTAAAGCATTCGCACTAGAGTAACATCAAAAACCTTTTCATTTCGATAGCTCGGATCATTCGAACCAATGGAAAAGGCTAAATAGGACCTCATAATAACGGCCTCAAAAAGTTAACGAAAATGGAATGGCAATCCGCAAAAAGCAAGGCACTAGAATACTACCGAAAAGAGGAATACCTGGAAAGCATAAAAAACGCCAAACTATGGTACCTTGAGACTGCTCGTGTTGGATGTAGGCAAGAAGAAAGAATAGCGTGTAAAATTCTTGCATGGTCATATAAATGTCTGGGAGAGTACGAAAAAAGCATAAATTTTGGGCTCAAAGAGCTCGAAATTGCTAAAGAAGAGAAGGATAAAGATGCGGAAGAGGAAGCGTACGCTGTTCTAGCTTTGTCATATGCAAAACGTAAACCTGACAGATGGCCAACAGAAACGATGAACATGTTATGTCAAGATGAACACGAGTCATGTCCAGGTACTGATAAGGGTAAACAGTTCCAGTTTAGCTATACGTTTATTGTGTTTTTGGCCTATCAATTTATAAATAAAAAGTTTCCTTACAAAATTTAAGTAAGCGGAATACTTTTCTCTGAATGATTGTTGTTTTATCCCTGGCCTATGTTGCTGCAAATTGTCTTGACGTGTGGTCCCCGCTGAAGGGAAGGTGGGGTAATTCCGTATAAGAGGCTAATGGGGAAGTGCCCCTGGATGGGGTTTCCTTTTTACTACTAGATTGACTATAATTGAGTTGCATTAATGGGGTCGCACATTTTTGATTTTTGAGGTATTCTTGATATTTACGGTTAACAAAAGCACCAGAATGTTTGTATTGTAGGTGAAAAGTAAAGCGTTCTTCATTCAGTTTTAAAAATGGGTCAATTCTTTTTAAGATGACCTATTTAAAGGATTGATAAGGTACATACAGTAATAGAAAGTGACTAAGCTGGGATCACAAAAGTTGCATTTGCCCAAAAGTGACAAAGATGGGGTCTATAATGGGCCACAGAATAGACTATAATGGAGCAGGGGCCTCTGAGAGTCCAGCGGCACATACCCAGCAAAAATTAATCCAAGTACCCCCTTTGCCGAAGGTGTACTCAGACCAAGTTTTGCCAAATGATACAGTGAACTTCATCATTATTGTAGTGTATCGAGCGACTAAACGGATTAAATACTTTCAAGGAACACGAGTCAACAAGCACATGGTTCGGACGAACAGAACAACAGGACAGGGGTCACGTGACCCCTATAAATTGCCAGGACCGCATATTCCTCCCCTTCAAGTTCCTAAACAGTATGTGTCATCTCGCCTTAAACTAAATGTTTATCGGGGCTGGAGGGGTACATCAGTAAAAACACTGTGGTGGTCTTCGGTCCCTTACTGTATATCGCCGGACCGGGATGGCAGGGACTAAGCTTGGGTCTTCGGGTGTAGTGGGTGACTCCAACTCCCCACAGGTTACTTCAAGGCTATTCACATCGGGTACTGAAACCTCTGGAACAACACTTCCCACTTTGCTATGGCCTGCCCTTTGAGCTGTTGGACTGGTGCGAAGAGGCTCTGTAGTACGAGAAATTAATTGGTCATGATGTCTCCGAACTACCATTCCATCTTCTAGTTCGACTCGCGCAGACAGAGGTCCGGTTTCCTGAATGATAGTTACTTCGACCCCAGGAAGTAGTTTCGGACACTCACGGCGTTACCAAGCTTCACTCCGCGAGTTTGGCTATGCTGATCATGCTGTTTTTTTTGTCTAGACTGAGCCGAATGCATGCACCCTTGTTGCTACATCCGGTCGCAGCAGATCGAGGTGAGACATAAGACTACGTCCCCACCGTCACTGAGCTGGAGATTCACCAGTAGTGCTTTGCGGGGTAATCTGGTAGCTTAGAAGAAAACGAGCCAACTTGGGGTCAACAGAACCGTCACCCTGTTTCTTCATCCCTTGCTTAAAAGTCTGTACCGCTCGCTCCACCAGACCATTTGTACTTGGGTGGTAAGGTGCTGAGGTAATGTGTTTGATGCCATTAATTGCAAAAATGACTTAAATTCACTGCTCACAAATTTAGAGCCACTATCCGACACTACAATCTCTGGTAAACCAGGTGAAGCGAAAGTTGACCTCATCTTGTCTATGGTCACATTGGAGGTGGCAGAGTTCACACAGTGGATATCCATCCACTTGGAATGGGCGTCAATGATCAGCAAGAACATCTTTCCTATAAAAGGACCGACATTATCTACGTCGCTCGCGACCAAGGGCAGCCCGGCCATTCCCAAGGCTGTAATGGCAAACAGGGAGGGGTGTTTTGGTGACTCTGACAAGTAGCACAACTCTTAACCTTCTCTTCTAAATTTGTGTCCATTTTTGGCCACCAAACAAAGCTCCTGGCTAAACTCTTCATTTTGACTATTCGCGGGTGAGTATCTTGAAATATGTTCAAGATCTCTTCTCTCCCTTGAGGGGGTACTATGACCCGAGCTCCCCGCAAGAGGCAGCCAGCATTTACACTCAATTCTTCTCTTCTAATAAAATAGGGCTTCAGGGCTTCTTCTTCTACCTCTGAAGGCCATCCTTGAAGAACAAACTGTAGAACTTGGGAAAGCACTGGATCGTGGGCTGCCCACAATTTTATTTAGTAGCATCTACTGGGCTGGTGTTGATAGTTTCTAGGAGGTGTACCATGTCCCCTGGGACGGGTGTGGACCCCGGGACATCCAAAACGGGTAGACAGCTGAGTTCATCCGCGTTACCATTCTCATTTCCTGGGCGATACAGCATTTCATACTCATAAGCTAGCAAAGTCAATACCTACCTCTGCATCCTGCTTGAGGCCATTAAAGGCGTGGCCTTTTTCGGGGTGTAGCAGCCCCAAAAGTGGTTTGTGATCTGTTTAAATCTTAAAATTGCGACCATAAAGAAATTGGTGGAACTTTTTCACAGCAAAAACTAAAGCTAGTGCTTCTTTATCTAGGTGACCGTAGTTCCTTTCTGCCTTAAAGAGTGTACGCGAGGGGTATGCCACAGGTCTCTCTGATCCTTCTTTTAACTCCCCACAGGCATCACAGGATACCGCTAGCTCTTTCTCGGGATCATAATGTACTAGTACGTCTAATGATTGAAGCTGGGTTTTGGCTTTATCAAATGCTTCTTGCTGTCCCACCTCCCACTTCCAAACAACATATTTCCTTAGCGAACTATGTACGTAGTAGTTCCAGAGTGGACGACAGGTTAGGTATGAACTTCCCATAGAAGTTAAGCACACCAAGGAACGACTTCAGCTCAGTGGGGTTTTTCGGTGCTGGGGCCTCTTGAATGGCCTTCACTTTTGTTTCGACAGGATGAAACCCCTCTGTATCAACTCGGTGCCCCAGGCACTCCAAAACTGGCTTCATGAATTGACACTTTACTGCCTTGAGTTGTAGACCAGCTTCCGAGAGACGTCTCAAAACTTTCTCGACGTTGTCTAAGTGCTCTTCAGTACTGGGGCCTGTAATAAGGATGTTATCTAACAGAACTCCCGTTGAAGGGATTCCTTGAAGAAAACCCTCCATGGTTCTATGAAAAATACCAGTTGCTGAGGCTACCCCGTAAGGGAGACGGTTATACCTATACAGGCCATTCTGCGTGTTAATCGTTAAAAATTCCTTAGAGTTCTTATCCGCAAGCATCTGTTCATAGGCATGGCTTAAATCTAACTCAGTAAATGTTTGACTTCCAACTAATTTCTAACTAAATTCGCTTCCCTTATTAACTTTGACGTCTACTTTGTTGACAGAAACATCCCCTCCCTGACCGTCTGCCTTCTGTATCTCTGAAGCATTCTTATCTGCGGCTTCAATGGCGAGAGCTAGATCAAGTGCCCTCTTCAATCATGTTAATTTGGGTTCAGCTAATAATCGGCGCTGTATTCTGATATCAGGAACACCACACACCAGCCGATCACGAAGCATCTCATCTAACGTAATTCCGAATTCACATTGTTCAGACAGGTGTCTTAATTCAGCTAAAAACATTGCAGTGGTCTCACCTGGTTGTTGGGAGCGGGTGTTAAACTTGAATCGCTGAACAATAGCCGAAGGTTTAGGCATAAATGGTTTTGGAGGAGTTTTGCTAAATCCTCATCGCTTTTATCCTTTGGATCTTCTGGGGCAACCAAATTTCGTACAAGTTTATAGGTTTTCGCTGCCACACAAACCAGAAAAAATGAATTTCCTCTTGCCAGGATCTGTGATTTCATTTGCTTCGAAGAAATGTTTTACACGCTCGATGTAATGGCGCCAATCTTCAGTTTCGTTGTACTCGTCCAACTTCCCAAACGTGGGCATGATTCATGTAGACTTCCTTTCCTTTGTCTACCTTGCAGTGGGCATCCGTACACGTTCCTCGTTGCCAAAAATGTAGTGTATCGAGCGTATAAACGGCTTAAATACTTTCAAAAAACACAACGAGTCAACAAGCACATGGTTCGGACGAACAGAACAACACGACAGGGGTCACGTGACCTCTAACAAGTTCCCAGGACCCGCAGAATTATATTGTAGGCGTAGAGGGCATCGGAAGTAAGCCAAGTGTGAGTGTATGACTGGTAGTGAGTAGTATATGCACAACATGTTTAACTGATGATGAGATCATGGAATCATCACGTAATACATGACAAGTCACAGCTTTAAATACGGTGCAAGTTCCAGACTTCATTACCCAGGTTTAGAAGCAAACTGAATATAATGCAAGCCAAAATAAGGTGTTGGATAAAATCAAGGAATTTGATCGATGCATAAAACGATGCTTGTAAAGGAAGCAGAACAATCTGCAAGTTATAAAATTCAGAGAGAATGTTAATACTGTTGATAATTGAACCAGCATCTGCCATTTGGTCATTTTAAACTCATGTTTTTCCCTCAAAATTTTCACCAGCCCGGATGACATTGACAGTTATAATAAACGTCATAAGATAAAGCTGAATTATTTGATATGAAATAAGTAAGTAAAGTACAATTGTCATAGAAAATGGCTGTCAAAACTTGGTTGCCATGGTAACCTCACGACGACTAGAGAATATTCTTAGTTAAATTTTAGGAAACCTCGCTCAATTTGGCGATCATAGTTTTGGGAGACCTCATGGTAAATTCTGTTGCCATCTGGGTGTACTTGTATTTCACCAGGTTCACCAAAGAGCCGGAGGCTGACAAATTTGCAAGAAGGAAATCCCGGCCAACTGACCTTAGCGCCATGTCAAGAAAATGATGATCAAACATTAAATCAAGCAGCAGAAGAGCAAAGATTTTCAAGTGAAAGAACAGGTAACGAAATTTGTTTTTAACACATTTGTTCTGTTTAAGCATAGTTTAATACAAATATGATAGCACTGTTCAACAAATATTTCTTAACACCTTCAACTGACGAGTGTGTTTTAAAACTCTCTTTGGATGACTTTACGAATCACCCAAGTGTCTTAGCCATCAAGTGAATAGCGCGCTTAAGATCGACTTTTCATTCGACCCAGTCAGTATATCTTGTGTTGCTGTATCTCTTGCAAATTTGAACACTATGAAATCTGCTGGCCCAGATGGATTATGGCCAAAATTGTCCAGCCCCTGTTATTGCTGGACCTCAAAAGTCCTCGTCCGGTCTGAAAAGGGTTAACATGGTTAATTATGGTGAAAGAATGAAGGATGGTAAATTTTTAAGCTCGGTGAAACAAATGTGAAAATGAAATGATCAGGATGTCACGAGCGTGGGTGGGACAATAAAAAAATCTGACTCCCTGACAGGAATCGAACCTATGACCTCCCAAACATCGCGCGGGCGGTCTATCCACTTGAGCGAGGGAGAACTCATGGAGAGCGAGACCATACACCTATTTCAATAAAGGTTGCTTTTCCGTAGCTCAAGTGGATAGAGCGCCCGCCCGGTGTTTGGAACGTTATAGGTTCGAGTCCTGTCGGGGAATCAGATTTTTTCTTTGTCCCACGTTCGTGACATGCTGATCATTTCATTTTGACATGTTTGATTCTGTTGCCATCTGGGTGTACTTGTATTTCACCGGCCTGGTACACCAGAGAGCCAGAGCCTGACAAATTTGCAAGGAGGAGATCCCAGCCAACTGACCTTAAAGCCATGTCAAGAAAATGATGATCAAACCTTAAATCAGGCATCAGAAGAGGAAAGATTTTCAAGTGAAAGGACGGGTAACAAAATTTGTTTTTTAAAACATTTGTTCTTCTTGGGAGACCTCAAAAGTTCTCGTCCGGTCTGAAAAGGGTTAACATGGTTAATTCTGTTGCCATCTGGGTGTACTTGAATGTATTTCACCAGATTTACCAGAGAGCCAGAGCCTGACAAATTTACAAGAAGGAGATCCCGGCCAACTGACGTTAGAGCCATCTCAAGAAAATGATTATCAAATCTTAAATCAGGCAGCAGAAGAGAAAAGATTTTCAAGTGAAAGAACAGGTAACGAAATTTGTTTTTAAAACATTTGTTCTTCTTGGGAGACCTCAAAAGTTCTCGTCCGGTCTGAAAAGGGTTAACATGGTTAATTCTGTTGCCATCTGGGTGTACTTGAATGTATTTCACCAGATTTACCAGAGAGCTACCCTGGTACCAGAGGTTTTTTCTCGCGTGCGTCGGGGAGCTTCGTTTCGTCGGCCGCAGGCCGACACGTGTTCGGCCAAAGGCTGAAGACACGGGCCGCGAGAAAAACCCTCTGGCGCAGAGTGCCTTGATTTACCATGCTAGATGGACCTTAATCTTGTCTTTAATCTGTCAATCAAACCGGCGGTCACGAGACTGTTGAGGAACGACACGCTCTATCTAAAAGAGTCACATTAACTTTAGGAACACAAGGTGGAGATTAAAAATCATTGCTAATCTTTTCACAGTGCAGTTCTCTATAATTTATGTAGCTTCAGTTTAAGCTACAATCCATTCTTCGAAATTTGGATCTTAAAATCACTAAGGAGAATTTAACATCCTGCAAAAACTACTAACGAGCTAGACCCAGCGTGACAAACATTGCAGGAAACCTTCACATTCACGGACAAAAGTAAATCACTTTTTGTTATTCAGATCCAGGAGGCAATTTGGAGAAAATTAAACAACCTAAAAGTTTATTTAGCCGCAAGGAAGAAGTTTACGTTTTAAAGGAGAACAAAGAAAAATAATTAATGTTTTCGACTCGCATCAGAGGGCGAATCATTCCGACCAGAAATAAACCGCAGAAAATCAATGCCTGTCACGACCTCTCACCATAAAACAAGCGACAAAAATATTGCACATTAGCTCAGTCATAATCTACCCACAGGAGAAAAAACTCATTGGAACAAGCAGCATTTTAGCGCGAGGTAAATATCGTGTTTTGGCTGCCGACCACATATGCCAAGTAGTATAACTGGAACGGTAGTGACTTTCTATCTGGATGGTCAGCAAGACCGCCAGTATCATTATATCTCTCCTTTCAGTGTCCTTTGAATATAATTTACAATGCCCTCTCTTAGTTCCGCACCTATTTCCTCCACACCATCGAATGTTCCAGTGACGTCGGCTATTGCCTTATCTAAATCTTCCGTACATACAGGCATCTGATATTTCTAATTCTAAACGTACGTGATGTGTGCTTGGATTGTTTGGATTTGATCTTTGTCACCTTCAAACCACCCGCGTCCCGATCACCCGCCTATTGCGATTGTAATTCAATCAGAGCATTTGAAACATTTGATATCTCCAAGGAGCCAATCAGCAAAACATCCAGATTCTGGATGTTTTGGTATAAGCGGGGTTGTGATTGCCTCGGCGCTATCAAAGGGATGGCGCTCTAGTCCAGAGGCTTTTCGAGCGGGTCACTTTTTAAGACTTGACCGAAACCGGAAACCGCGCATGAAAAGCTTGTGGTACCCAGGGTACCAGAGAGCCAGAGCCTAAAAAAAATTTGCAAAAACAAGATCCTGGCCAACTAACCTTAAAACTATGTCAAGAAAATAATGATCAAACCTTAAATCAAGCAGCCGAAAAGGAAGATCTTCAAGTGAAAGAACAGGTAACGAAATTGTTTTTAAAACATTTGTTTTAAGCATAGTTTAATGGCTTTATACCTGCCAACTTTTTCTGAGATATAAGCGTGAGATTTTTATCCTGGGAGTGCTGGGATTTTTGGAGACGACACGATCATTTCCGAAGATTCCCAAAGAAGTCTGAAGTCTTCCGAAGAAGTCCGAAGTCTTCCGAAGACGTCCGAAGTCTGCCGAAGGTTAAGTTATCGAGAAAACGCTTATCCACAAAATCAGAGATGGCGAGAAAGGTATTGTCATTTATTCATTTTACACATGGTTTTCGTTCCTTAAATGGGTCTGAGTTAACATATTTTTGGAAATTGTGTCAAGCAAGACGGCAACAACTCACATTTTTCAATCAGGCGTGAGAAATTGGCCCAGAAGCGTGAGTTTTCAACCCGCAGGCGTGAGACTCACGCCTAAGACGTGAGAGTTGGTAGGTATATGGTTTCATGTTTTGCAACGAAAGGTCCAATGCAATAAATATGATAGCACTGTTCAACAAATATTTCTCAACACCTTCAATTGACGAGTGTGTTCGAGAACTCTCTTTGGATGACTTTATGAATTACCCTAGAGTCTTAGCCATCAAGAATAGCGCGCTCAAGATCGACTTTTCATTCGAGCCACTTAGTATATCTCGTGTTGCTGAATGTCTTGCTAATTTGAACACGATGAAATCTGATGGCACAGATGGATTATCGCCAAAATTGCTTAAGCTTTCAGCCCTGTTATTTCTGGGCCTCTTAGAAAGTTATTTAATCACTGTATCACCTCATGTGTGTGGCCTAGTCAATGGAAACTTTCTAATGTGACACCTGTCTACAAGAAAGAGGATGAAACATTCAAGTCCAATTATCGCCCCAATAGTGTCCTTTCAATCTTTCCCTAAGGTCTTCGAACAGCTGAAAATGTGTCATTTCACATCTCTATTCTCGAAAAACATGTCCGGTTTTCTTCGCGGACATTCATGTTGTACTGCCTTACTCAAACTAACGGAAGACTGGCGCTAAGCCCTGGACTTGAAAAAGGATGTAGGGGTGATTGCAGTTGATTTATCAAAAGCATATGACTCAAAATGCCATGACCTATTACTTGCTAAGTTACGAGCATATGGCTGTCAGGACTCTGTCATTAGGCCAAGAGATAAAGAGCTAGCTCATTCTCTCTTGATTAGGCTCATTCATGCATTCGTATTTCACCGGCCTTTTCCAAAGAGTGAAATACAATGGGAATTCTTCTGAGTGGCTAACTGTTCGGTGTGGAGTTCCTCAAGGCAGCCTGTTAGGCCCCCTTTTTTCAATATTTTCATTAATGATGTTAATACTACAGTTGGCACTCTGTCTATACGAAGGTGACACAACCCAGTAGTCAGATAACGTGTCTCCTGATGTTCTTGAATCATAATGTTATAAAACTGACCCAACGGTTCTCCGTTAACCATCTTCAAGTCAATGCAGCCAAGAGGCTAGGCTCAAGCAATGACTCTAGGCAGTTCACATACCGCTTATCAGTTGAGGAGCAGATCTGATTTACTGGCATTGAGCCTGCTCTTAAAATTCTTGGCGTCAGTTTGGACAAGGACCTGTCTTATATGCCTCTTGTGGACATTATGCTAAAAAAGCTTAATATGCTAAAATTGCGGCTTTGCGCAAAATAAAGCGATTAATTAGTTCCTCAAAATGTGATGATCACCTTATACAAAGCCTATGTGGTACCGAACTTTGAATACTGTTCTCCCCTGCCCCTGGGGATTTGGCGAACATTGATCAACAAACTCTAACGCGCCAATCAGTCATTTAAGATGCCTGTCTATCTATTGCCTCATGCAATGACCTCACTCGAGCAAAGACTACAAAAGACTCTAGACCAAAGATAAAGACCAAGACTGTTTCAAATCATTAACAGTTTCACTTGTCTGTCGCTACTGATTTTATAATTTAGGTGCTGACAGAATCAGAGATGCGGTTTTTGATGTCTTTGTTTTGATCTCAGAGAAACACACTTTGATCGGCGCACAAAATTGTTCGATCGTGACGAATCACTGCGACGTTAAGAAAAACAGAACCAAGTACCACAGGTCTACGACTCCACTGTAAGCAGCCCGTGAATAAAAAAGAAACGTAGACTTCGCTGCTTTCCAAAAATATGCCTTACACATTAAAAACAGTTCAAAAACATGGCAGTCACAGGATGTTACTCGTACTTGTGCCTTTCTAAGTCCGTTGGAACAAGCTGGACCAGTAAACGGTCGTGTTTATCGTTACCGTGAATCAAGATAAAATACAAAAAGGAATATAGCCGAATTCTTTAACGTTTCTTTCGCCAGAAGATTAGTTTGGTCACGAAACTCATGGCCATGCTGTTGTAATCGTTTAATCGTAAAATCAGCCGCAACCAACTCGACAGCCGTTTCATTATATGTTCACATACTTTGAGCACACAAAAAAATTCAAGAGCCAGCACCCTTTAAAACAACTCAGCAAAAACGTTTTGTGAACTATAAGGAAAATTCCAGCTAAGATTCCATCAATGACTGTGGAATAGCCACAATTCTGCCACCGGAAAGGCCGCTGATAAGAGGACACTGTAAATCCATGAAGAAAAAAGTCCAAGAGCAAAAAATTTCCAAAATAAAGCAAAAAACGTCTTCTGTAATCACCATAGAACGATTCTTAATACAAAACTTCGCTAACTATCAAACGATGGCTGAGATTTAAATAGATAAAAACAGCCTTCCAAAATCTCAGACAGAACTTGAAAACTTTGGGCCACCTTTCTCAACTTTGTTGTCATTGGCTCGCGCATGCGCCACCGGTGACAGCTCCATAAAGAGGTGCCCCCCTAAAGAACACAAACTAGCTTCCTTAAAGTGTTTTTGCTTCAGTGCGCTTGCGGGCAAAAGAGCACAAGGAGATAAATTACGTTTGCGTAGAGAAGCTCCACGTTCGTACTAATTCCGCGCTGATGTTGCCGTCTTTCTTCTCTAAAGGGCAAAAATAGCTACTAAAACGATTAAAACTTGCACTAGCTAAAACTACGATGCGAATAGCAGTTCAAGAACACTTATTGATACCCAACTACATTCTAAAGCGGCAATGATATTTTTAGCCATTTCCTTCTTTGTCTCAGTTTTTTTCGTTTTGTTTCCAATAGTACCAAGTGAAATCATAGCTCGAGGACCTGAGGCGAAACGTGCTTACGAAAATGCTTTGAAGAATGGAAAGGTAAAGGTGTATCATGCTCGAATCATGCTCATCGGCCAAGATGGAGCGGGAAAGACGAGTTTAAAAAAACATCTGCTTGGCCTGCCATTTGACCCAGAAGAAGAGAGTACACACGAGGTAGAAGTTGACCCATCAGTATTTGAATTTGACGTCGATCACGCCACGAATTGGAAGATCAGCAGTAAAAAGCTCGATGTCTCTCATTTTGTCAACAAGCTTGCAAAGATGGTTGCAGAAGAACTTCAGGAACAGAAAATCAACGTGAACCAGGAAGGACAAGATGAAGAAAACAGGGTAAGCAAAATGTCCTTACAATCACCTCGCAAAAATTAGTTTCGCTTATTTACGTAGTTCGCATTGGCCCCTGTTGTTCAATCGTTGGAAAGCAATATCAACTGGATTAATCAATATCCAGTTAAATAAGTATTAGGTTAAGCAACTGAGTCATTCTCTGGAGAATTATCCAGTGAATAGCTTAATCCACCTTTATTTGAATACTGGGGCCTGTTTACTAAGTGTCTAACCTAAAATAATGGAAGTAAGAAGCCTGATCTATAAGACTCCACACTTGAAGGATACTCACATCAATAACTCTTCGCTAATTTTGCCAAATTTTCCGAAATTAACAATACCAATATGCGGGCAAACGCTGTTAAAAAAACTAAAATACAGTACGGTCTAAATAGTAGTATAGGGCGCACCGTTGAGGCCGTTTTTTGAAGTGGAATCTCTTATCATAATAGGGCGAAATACAATACGTTGACGCCGATGACGTCATCACCTTTTTTCTTTATCTCATGCTTGTAATCAGTATTTTTACTAAACTGTCGTCTGGTGCTATTTTAGGTTGTTTATTATAACCGGTTGAAGAGTTCCAGGTTTTTAACTATTTTTTCCTCGATTTGTTTATTCTTTTTTTTAAGGAAGGAATACGCACCAAACCTAGAATAACTAGACGGTAACATAACTATTCAAGTTTTAATTCATGCAAATGACATTCTGCCTATTCCTTTTACTGTATTTCGGCAAGCATTTTGTGCACATTAATGTCTGGGCTATAGGAAAGTAGTTCTTTCAACAACTAACATAATAGTGTTTTGCCAAATGTTTTATTCACCCTTTTCCCATTCCTAGTAATTCTTTCTTCATATAATTAGAATATTTCCATACAAACAAAGAAGCAAGGCACCGAAGGAGCTGGATTTCATTCTCACATACCTAAAAATTTGGAAAACGTGATTGAAGAACGTACGAATGGCATACCCGACGTGAATATCGAAGGAGCTTCTCATCCAGAAGACGTAACAGAAATAATGTCAACAGAAGCGACAATTCCCCTACCAGAGTTGAAGATTGATCCAGCCCGTCCTCCAGAAGACTTTACAGAAACACTTGTTCAGCATTTAAAGGGATTAAATCGGAAAAAAGATGCGAAAGAAACTAAACATCACACGACGCTAGATCTATGGGACTTTGCAGGGCAACGTCTTTATTACGCTTCATATCCTGTGTTTTTGTCGAAAAGAGCGATTTATCTGTTGGTCTACAATTTGAACAAGCCACTTGCAGCGGAGGCACAACCCTCTTTTGAACAAGGAAGTCGCAAAGTACCTCTAAGAAACACATATTCTGACACACATTTAGACAACCTCATGTCATGGCTTGCTTCAGTAAGTACTATGTGTTCAAAGCAAAAGAAGGTTGATACAAAGAAAGAGAGGGAGCTCGAATACCTACGTCCTCCAGTATTCATTGTAGGAACGCATGCTGATGAGCCATATAGAAGTAATATCAAAGACATTGAATCACAGATCCAAAAAGCGATTTCAGGAAAAAGCTTTGCAAAGCACGTGATTCGTCCTTTCTTTGCAATATCTAACAAGTCAGGTTCAGACGAAAAGCAGCTCGTCGACCTCAAAGACCAAATAATGGAGGTGCTAAAGCAGGAGCCATATATGGGAGAGGAGTTGCCTCTTCGGTAAGCTGCAAAGCAGTTTCATCATGTCTTATATTATCATATTTCCAGGCTGTGAAAGTTTTGAGTTCTTTTTCTTCTGCGTGGATCTTGAACCTTACAACCAGTTTGAAAAATATTGAGACACTTGGACAAAAAACCGTCTTTTTACATCAAATGGCTGCTAGTCTCACATCTCTGAGATACAGATTTATGTCCAGAAATGCACACAATGGCGAAAATGTTGAATCTGGCGATTTTGGCTGACGAAAATGCAAATGAGATTTCAAAAGGTATCCTTGTAAAGTAGAGACTTTGATGAAAGTGGCGAATCTGACAAATATTAGGTTTAGATGCCAAATGTGATCCCTTGAAGATAAGCGATTATGACAAAAATGGCGAGAATAATGAAACCAGCCAGACGAGTCTGGCAAAAAAATTTTTAAAAAAAATGCTAGAAGGTTAAGAGGGGCTATTTTGACGGAAAAACCAAACATTATGTTAAGGCATAATGTCATTTATGTCGATACAATATGCCTTTCTGGTCTACAAGGTTGGTCTTCCATCAATGTAGCCTCTCTTTCAAGAGCCAATCATTCGCATCGTCCTAAGGGAGTGTTCGTAAAAAGGAGCAAGCATTCCCGCATTCGCTCTCTCTTGCTCTCACCATCGGTGGTTACATCTCTTCGGAGACAAATTGCCCCTCACTCCCATCCCTCTTTGCCATGACTCGGGAGATCTTCTATGCCACGCAATTTCCGTTAGAATCGCCAGTTTTCAAGAGGCGCCTTTGGAAACGTGACTAGAATTTTCGTTAAACCTTTGGCCAATTATTGCCAAATCACCATTTCCACCATATTCGTCATTTTCGTCAATTTTAGGGGCTCTGATCTTTGGACATGTAATGAGAATTCTCTTTAAACCAGTTACTAGGCAATTTTTCGTCAAATCATCATTTTCGCAAAATTCGTCAGACGCCAATTTTTGAAGTAGCCTGCGAGCAAGCTCTCTGGGGCGCTCTGGCGGCTGGACAGGGAAAGGAAGGAGAGCTTGCAACTACGTCTCTGGAATTTGAATCCTGCCTTTAATTCCCCTGTGGCTCCCCTTCAACTAAGCTGTCAGATTTCCGCCTATCAGCGGGAAGCGGAAACGATCGCGAATGTAAACAAACATTGAAAAACACTGCGCAAAGGGTAATGACATTATTAATGTCATATGCTAAAAACCCGATGCCTCATTGCGCGGCCCCCCCTCCCTTCCGCCCCCCCCCCGACAGCGCCCCCGGGAGGTTTCGCTCCCGGCTTTTTTTCAAGGGGCACATTTAAACAAATTTCCCTTAACCCTTTTTGCCAAAATTCTTTTTTTTGCGACCCCCCCCCCCCCACCCCTTGGAATTGTAGTTAAAATTTTCATTTGACGCCAATGTCACCATGTTTGCCATTTTTGTCAAAATCGTGACTTTAAAAAAGGCCTCTTTGAACATCTTTGAATTTTCGCCAAACCTTTACCCGTGCTCGTTTCACTACCCCTGTCTCTTGTTTAAGTTACATCGTATTTAAAAAACTTTTCAACACATGTACACCTTTTAAAATTTATCCAAGGTAATGACCTTCATGATGTGTGTTATATTGTCTCAATTTCATTCAGAATGCCGTTAAATTTTCAGCTACACCTAACCGATGGACAAGTCAAAATGACGTTATTACGACTCAAAAATAACCTCAGCGTAGATATTTCTGACGCTTACCCCTCTTACCTTTATTCTGCAGGTGGTTTAATTTTGAGAAGGTCATTAAACACTTGGTTGCAGCGAACATGTATTACATGGACCTGAATGATCTACGAACCTATGTTCGGAACTTTTGCTTCATCGAAGACGAGAAGGAGATGGACACCATGCTGGATTTTTATCATGACCTTGGCAACATTGTCAAACACCGAAACACAGTTATACTGCAACCCCAATGGCTGATTGATATTTTCAGGAAACTTATAACCATCCGTCATTTCAACGATATGGTAATTAAAAAGTAAAACTTTTCGGATAAGTGATGATTTCCGTGGTATTTACTATTATGAACATGGTTAAGGTGGGTTACATTAAAATTATGCAACATCGCAGAAATTCGTTACCACACAGCTTATTCGCTACAGGCTTACCGGGTAAGGGGGACGGGATCCCTCAAAAAACGCTCTGTTCCATGGGAAGCAGCCCTTAAGAAAAGACTAAAACACGAAAAGAAAGTCAAACCAAAGAGTACTGAAACCACGACAGTCGTTTTCAAATGTCAGTCTAAATGCGCACATGTCAAATCTAGATGCGTGCATGGTGTCGATACCTGCATGTTATTCAATCTTCATCCCAGTGCCTTCATTGATTTTTTTTCATGGCGTCCACTGTGAGCTGGGAAACTGAGATCTCTATACATTTTTGATAAAAAGATAAGTTCAGTACTGGAATCTTATCTTCGTAACACTATGTGACAGAGTAGATTGTATAGCCTCCCTGACGTCCACATTGAGCACTCTTATGAAACATTGTGAACAGAACGGACGACGCCACGGGAGGAATGAACTTTCAGAGTGAGTTTCTCATTTCACCAGATCAAATAGACTCCTTATTAACCGTAGAGACTATGCGAGGTTTCACTGAAAATAACTTGAATTCTTACTGTATCACTAAGCGTGAGAGTTGTAAACGTTTTTGTTTTTTATACGATGTAAGTACTTTTGTATCCCTTTTACAACACCAAAGCGTTAGTGCATTATGTAATTTCTTCGGGCAAGGTCGCCGACGCTGCTTCCTCCAAGCCAAAGTCCGAACTATGAGCTTACGTAAGGTCATTTAAAGGTACAATATTTCAAACAGCTGATAAAAAGGTGTTTTTAATTAATATTTTGAGGATGCGCGCGATTAAATTTAAGAACACCACGTCTATATTTTTTTTTGTGGTAACATATTCGTTCAATTTCCACAGAAATCCAAACATTCCCAACTGTGGGAAACAATGGAGAAAACAGGTGTTCTCTCAATGGAAATCGTCGATCATGTGTTTTCCAAATTTTGTCAGGAAAGTTTTGCCAAAGAAAACATCTTACACTTGATGGAACAGTGTGGTTTGATTGCTAAGTATGCATTTCCTATACACGATGTGAAGTACTTTGTTCCAGCGCAACTACGTTTACCACCTGGACAATGCCATTTGAAACCGGCGCTGACAGACCCATGCCCCTTATATCTTCAGTTTCCATCTGGATTTGTTCCACACGGGCTTTTTACGCAACTTGTATCGCGTTGTATCAGTTGGTGTTCCAAAATTGAATTCAAGGAAGAACCCTGCCTCTTTGATGGGGTAGCCAAGTTTACAATGCTGTCAAAGGATTTCCGCCACCAGCTAATCTGTGTTCGCATGAAAAGTTTCATCAAGTTTCTCCTACGTCCTTTTAAAACACCGCAGGGTCAAGGGCCTCCACTGACAGAAATTGAAGAAATGGCTGCTCTCGTGTGGAGATTTCTAAAACAGACAATGACTTCTTTGTTGGATGAGTGGCCCTTCTTGACCAGTTTGGAATATAATTGGTGCGTCGCATGTCCCGAGTGCTCTGGGGAGTACAGCATTTGTGATAGCCACGGCAAAGTGGCATGTAGGCTCGATGATTGTTTGTGCCTTCTCAAAATTCTGCAAGACGGGCAAATCGATATCTGCCGAAAGAGCTTCGAGAATAAAACTAAAAATGTTCCAGGACTGGAAAAATGGTTTCCAATCAAAGGTGAGGAAAAACTTTCTGTAACCACCAGAAATTACTTTCATTTCACCAAAATCCTCGGACATTGCTCTCTAAGATCGTCTTCACCATGAATAACTTGCCTTGGTGATATAAAACTGCTCCCCTAAAAGCAAGTACATTACTACCATATATGGGCTATACAGGCATATCCCGCTGTAAAGGGTATGGTTTTCAATCAGTTTACTTTGGGATAGGGTATAAAAATCAGAGACCTTGGGTGTAGAATAGGGTATCATTTTCCAGGAAGCTGATCAATTGGTTGAAGATTTTAGGCTAGACTAGGGAAACCGGGAATTGCCACTCAAAAATATAAAAAATCAAATCGGCAAGTTTAAATTGACGTAACTCAGCCTAAAAGCTACTCTAGGATAGGAGGGATTTGGGAAGTTTAGGCTAGTATAGGGAACCAGAATTCGTCTGCGGTCCAAAACCGGTCGGCAACCAGGAAACGTGCCCTGCTTCGCTCCCTGTTTTGGATCATCAATCTTAATGAACATTCTTTTTTTTTTACGTAGCCGTTCGCCCAGGTCACCACCCTGGAACAGACTTTGTCTACAAAATGACTGCTCTTCCAAGAGGGATTGTACTGATAATTAATAACAAGATGTTTGCAGATAATACTGAACATGGCAGACAAGCACCACGTCACGGCTCAGAGGAAGATGTCCGTCAAGTTAAAGAAATGTTCAGCGCTCTGGGATTTGAAGTACACGTTAGTCAGAATCGGACCAAAAAAGAGATGTTGGACGAGGTAGATTTTTTTGCGCACGAAAAGGACCACAGTGACTACGATTGTTTTGTGCTCTGGCTCATGAGTCATGGAAGAAGTGGCGAAGTGTTTGGCTCTGATGGTGTTCCGTTGCCAATCCAGACAATAAAAGATATGCTTTCCAACGCCAGCTGTGCAACACTAAGGGGAAAACCAAAGCTCCTTTTTGTTCAAGCATGCAGAGGGGATAAAGAGGACGAAGGGGTTAACCTCGTGACTAATGCATGTGGTTCGCCCTCTGTTCAAATGCCTTCTCCCTCTCCTGATTCGCCGATTGATCAAACGAAAAGTCCCTCTCCGGAGAGGATGGCTGGGCAAACAGATTTCCTAACTGCGTACTCAACAGTCGAGGGATACGTGTCATATAGATATCCCAACCTAGGAAGTAATTTTGTTCGCGTACTTGTGAAAGTTTTCCGAGAACATGTTGCTCACGACCACCTCGTTAACCTCCTGACCAAAGTAATCAAAAGAGTCAGCGACATGGAATCAACAGAAAATGCCCGCAAATTTAAACAAGCACCTCAGTTTGAAACCACCCTTGTTAAAGAACTTTGGTTTTAATTATGACAATTAAAACGTGAGCGTGCTTTTCGCTTATGACTACTGGCCTTCTGGAAATCCTATTGTTCTCAAACTGCAAGAATATTGCAGAGAATTATGCCAGAAAGATGTAAAACCCATGGATAGATAGATGTATAGGCCATGGAAAAATAGATGTTTTATTTAGACACGGTAGTTTTATCAGCTAAAGCTGATTTACATAAAAGCTTTGTTAAAAACATGTATAAAAAAAATTATATCTATCTAGCTATTAAACTTTGATAAAATAATCTAAACTATGATTACAGTAAGGAATCAAAGAAGCTGGAAAGCAAGCGGTCCAATTTAGATTTCAATAAGTTCATTGATCTGCATTCACGCAAATCCTCGGGCGATTTATTCCAAATAAATGCGCCCCTATAGCCAAAATGTTTTTAGCCATAATTAGTTTTGGAAAGAGGGAATGGAAATCGAGAAGAAGGGCCCGTAGCTAGTAATCATAGGTGAACCTCATTTTAAAAAATTTTTGGCACAGGTATTCAGTGCCACATTGTTGTACACCTTGAACATTTCTATAGCGACGAGCTTAACTCTGCGTATGGAAAGTTTTGTCCCATCCTAGCTCTTGCAGCAGGGGGCCGGAGCTAGAATCATAACTTGAAAAGGTATGATCCACCGTTTTGTTACAACGGTTAGACTTTTCTAAGACGTATTAAACAATGTTAAGTATAGTTCCTTTACAATGGCCTGTTGTTGTAAGGAACACAATTCTTGAAGTGGTCTAAGCTGATGACAGTTTGGTAGATCTGGAGCTAGCCAACCGCACATTGGGAAATTTAAATAACGCATTTTTTTATTATTACCATTTTTCAAAGAATTCATTTCCAGGAAAATTTGCCTACATTTGGCAAATTGCGCGAGTCCAAATAATTGGGAATAAGCTTAAAAGAATGCCAATCTCTTTATGAGTGAAGTATTCACTGCTGTCGCAATTGCTCAAAAACATCGAAGGTGGCCCAAGGGTAGTCTGTGACGAATCGACGTTGATGGATTATTTAGTAGCAGAAATGTCTAATATATATTTTAGTTAAACAAATAAAACCAATTAAAACCGCCATAAATATGAACTCTATTCCTTTTCCCTGTTTTTAAAATACAATACTGATTGGTTGAAGAAGAGTGAAGTAATGCGTAGGGAACTTAACGGATTCTTTATCATAAAACAGCGGATTTTTGCGGCGGAGCGAAGCTGAGCCGCACCCATCTTGAAATTCGATCGTCACATATTGGATTATGTTTCTATGGCACTCTTCGCGCAGTGTGAACAGGCCGGTGTTACTGCTATACCGGGGTATTTTTCATGTCCACATGAGAAGCTATCCGCATATAGCGTAAAGTAAACATAGACGTTAGACGTGCGCGCGCTGTCGCCACCTTTGTCGCGTTGCTTTTTTGAAATCGAGAGCGAAAATCACCATTTTATTTTCCTTCGTGTTAGAACGCATCACTATAAAACGTATTACGTGGCGCAACTCAAATTCATTTGTTTTTTGCTGCTCTGAGCAGAATTGTTTCCAGAATCATCTGTCTAATCAAACCACGCGGTTGAGAGATTTCACAAAATCTTTTGTACAAATGAGTATTATTATATGTTCATTTCACTGTTTTCTGTTGTTACCAATGTACATTTTTAATAAAGACACACTGATTTCATAAAAATAATAATCAAATTTTACAAATATTTCATCAAGGTCAGTTTATACTGTGGCGGAAATTTGTTTTGACTTTTTTGTTAAAAAAACGAAAACCCCATTAGCTGGATAGTATGGATGAAACAGTCCTTCTCCAATCTGACACAATTTGAAACTATTACAAATATTTTCAAGGAAATGCTAGCGCTTCATGATTGCCATAACGCTCACGCGAGCGTGCTTTTTTGAGATATTATACACAAAACCTTTAGTATGACCGTGCGCGAATCCGTGGGACATGTTGTAAGCGGAACCGGAATCATATGGAAGGCGAGAAGAGGGGCAGGGAAGGTCCATCACGGTCAAAGTGGGACTTAGTGGGATTTCATTCACCATTCAGTAAATTAACAGCGTATTCAATATACATTATACTTTGAATAGTGCAATTAACTTGTTACCTTAGCATTGAAGTAATTTGCTTTGCTTCTGCACAATTAATTCTCTTGTTTGACCGCGCTGAACAGGGTACGTTTTCGACGAAAGTCCTACAGATCGAACTTTCCACCCTCCCTAATCTTTCTCCGATTGTCACCAGTATTTTTGAGATCAGCAGGAACTTTGGTTTCTTTTTAATGACCGGTACAGTATTGTGCCATCGCGGAAGGCGACTTATGGGGATGTTCGCCTGTTTCGCTCACTAGTTATCTCGTAAAAAATATACCAATTTACATCACCTAGATTCTATAAAACAGTTACTGAATTCCATGTACTAATTTGAGTTGGTCGATAAGTTCTTGTTTTTCATTCTCGGGAAGAAAGGAAGCCCTTGCAGCGTTAAATGTCTGAAAAAATACAGAAAGAAAAATAACTTCTAAGGCACCCTCTGATTAAATTTGACTAGCGCCTGCAGAAGTGAGTACCCATGTATTAATATTCTGGAACTTAAGCTAGGATATGATCAGCTGCTGAGACCCCCCTCATAAGAAGGTCTTGCATTAAGCAACACCTTATGCCTCGCATGCGTTGGGATATTTAGGTTAAAAGGGGAGGACAGTTTTGCTCCTTTTTTTTTTCCTTCGCTTTAACTTTGGGTGAACTATTTGATCTGAATGGGCAAATAAAACAAATTTCATTTGTTTATTTATTGTATTTAACGTTTGATTTATTGTACCCCAGTGGGCAAAGCAGCTAAGACTAAAATGTTGGGCTTTGCATACCCATCGCTTCCTGTCACGATCACGTTTCAAAATGGCGTCTGACAGCGCGAAATGACTGACTCATTCCCAGTCTTCTCTTAGTCTCCTATCAATATTAGACTGTTCACAGTCCCCTATTTTTCCGTAAGATCATCGAGATCAAAGGCTTTTTGTTTTGCTGGCGGCCGTCTTGGATGAGTGTCANCCTTATGCCTCGCATGCGTTGGGATATTTAGGTTAAAAGGGGAGGACAGTTTTGCTCCTTTTTTTTTTCCTTCGCTTTAACTTTGGGTGAACTATTTGATCTGAATGGGCAAATAAAACAAATTTCATTTGTTTATTTATTGTATTTAACGTTTGATTTATTGTACCCCAGTGGGCAAAGCAGCTAAGACTAAAATGTTGGGCTTTGCATACCCATCGCTTCCTGTCACGATCACGTTTCAAAATGGCGTCTGACAGCGCGAAATGACTGACTCATTCCCAGTCTTCTCTTAGTCTCCTATCAATATTAGACTGTTCACAGTCCCCTATTTTTCCGTAAGATCATCGAGATCAAAGGCTTTTTGTTTTGCTGGCGGCCGTCTTGGATGAGTGTCAAATCGATATGAAACCAAGATGGCCGCCCGTACCGGTAGGAGCCCGATTGTGACGATCTTACGAAAAAAATAGGGATCTGTAAACAGTCTATATCAATATTTACGAGAGGAACAAGGTCAAGAGCGCGAGGGGTGATGGGAGTCTCTCCCTTTAGTTCACCATGATCACCCCTCGCTCACATGCGAGGGAACGCGTCGGAACGCGTTCCGTTCCGACGGATGCAGGAACGCGTTCCGTTCCTGCATCCAAATGTAGATAGAGACGACTGAGGACAACTCAGACGAAATGAAGCAAATAATGTACCCAATTACACAATCAGGTAATCAAGGTGTGAACACAACACCATTTTGTGCCGGTACCCAGGCACTAGTGCTCGTGCACCAAGTGTGGATATAGGTTTATTATCCAACAAGAGTCAGTTGTAACTCTCTTTACCAGTGATGGCGGATGCAGGGGAGGAGCCTGGAGGCCCGGGCCCCCCTTATTTTTAGACCAAACTGAAGCCCGAAGGGTCGAAAAAAAAATTTTGGAGACCGCTCCCCCCACCACTTATCACAGGGTCTGGGTGACGGCCCCCCCTATCAGAAGGCCAGGACCCGCCACTGACCAGTACCATCCTCTAGTTGAAATGGTATTGCGCGTTCTAGTCCAATGTGTTAATAATTAAGTTTTATTTGGCCTAGAAGGCAACAGTGCCTTCAACAAACGAGCCAAAAGTAAGATTTAAATTTCAACGTAACCTGAGCTCATTATAGTTCTTTTAGAAACGCCCAATAGACTTACCGCGCGCGTTATTTCTGCAGGACTCAGTCCAATTTTATTAATAGCAATCTTTTCCTCAAGATCTTTAGTGGTATGACATACAAGAGGATCGTCTGAATTAAGAGAAAAGTTCACCCTGTCTTGTGCGAACCTTCAAAAACACAAACAAAATGAGTGAGATATTCATGGCATAAAAACGACAATTAATATTAACCACTTAAGTGAATTTTAAATTCAAATTCTAGGAGTCGTTAAAAGATATTTTCTCTCGGTATAGCTCTGGCCTTGAGGAAGGCTAAGTTTGTCAGCCGAAATATTGGCCTATAATAAATAAGCCCTTTGCCGTAGTGCCAGCTCTGCATTCAGTTTTGTTTTAGTCCCGGAAGTCTTTTCGAAGGTAAACTTCATCCAGTTTCTCCCTCGTTTCTTCAACTCTAGGGAGAATGGGTACAAGCTTTGGTTGCAGCGATGTTTGGGATCATTTGGGGTGGACAAGCGTTATGATTGGTCGATGGTATTCAAGGCAACCATGAACCAATCAGAAACCGTTGCACCGAAAGCTTGTACCCATTTCCCATGTAGTTTGTGGAATGGGGAAGTACAATGACCCTTTAACTTCCCACAGTGAACAAAACCACAATTTATGGCGAGTAGCACTGTGAGGAAAGGCACTTAAAGTCGAATCGTATGGAATGATAGAGAGCTTTAGATTCTGAGACGAGGGCGACTAGGAGTGCGAGATTTTCTCAATACTGAGTATTGCTCGCGCGTGAAACAGCGTCATTTTGGCGGGAAAACGTGATAGCCGTCGTCATTCTACTACGAGTTTTAGCGAGAATGTCGTAGTGGTGGGAATAAGTTACCAAATGTAAGAAGTTTATCATTTTTGCTATCAGGAGAGGGCTTAACCTTCTTCAGTGTAAATAACCGTACTAACTTTTTTGGTGAAAAAAAGTAAAATAAAGCTTTCCACGGTGTATTTATTTTTTTAGAACTCCCGCAAAAATTTTAAGTTAAATCTTGTACTCGTACTCTCGTTCTCGTCCTTAAATCTAAAGCTGTCTAATATCAGTACTCCAGCAACGTAACCCTCGGCAGGTTTACAGCCGAATCATGGTGCAAGGTTGCGCGTTTAGGGCTGGCTTTCACTTACAACAGAAAGGGGAGTCGTAAGAGCCCCTAGAACCTATTGAAATCAAACCTCGGAGTTGTAAGTCCAGTCGAAAGCTCGAAGGAATCGGAATCCGAACGTTTCCGTTCTCTTACGACTCGATCCTTAACTTACGATCTGTGTGAAAATCAGATTATCGGGGTGGCATGCAGAAGCAGAAGATGCAATGCTTGTTCCTAAGCTTTGTGGTTGGTTTTGTTCTTTCGCTTTTGCTTTTCGACTCTTAAAATTAGGTTTTCAATGGATCGTAAGCCCTGGAGTTCCAAGGGAGAATCGGAACATAAATATGTTTTCCCTAGATCACAGCGCTGTGTATCTCTCATTATGACTCCGTTTCCTTCTCTAGTTAAGAATGCGCATGGACTCGAACCTTTTCCTTCTCGCCTATAATTTTTGTCCTAGTCTAGATCTAGATCCCCATATAGAGATGATGATGTGCACTCCACTTCCCCTCATCTCCTCCCTCCCTGCCCCCCCTCCCCCACCCCTCATTTTCTCAAACCCCTAAATACGTACCTTCTTAAAGGGTGTGTACTGAAGCAAGGTTTGACCGCACCAGTCAATATACTGGAGGTTGGACAGGCCTGTCAATGAGAAAGAGAGAGATCACTCAATTACTCACTATAAAACTCGACGTTAGTGAAGACATTACTTCTTAATGCCTATGAAACAAGAGAGGATTAAGGGGACAGAGAAGGCATCCCCCATACACACCCTATTCCATAGGTAATTCGTCTCGAGTTATTTTTAGAATCGGGATAAAGTTACCTTGCACGCTGCGTGGATGTTTCGTGGAGGTTTCGCATGATTAAACGGCATGCAAAACATGTCGGGCGAAAGGCAATGAAAGCGAAATGAGTCGGCGCTCACCTGGGAAAAGGGAATCGCTCGACTCTTTGACAACCCGTGAAATCAGTTTAACTCGAAGTTATCGTAACCTCAGTGCTTTAATAAAATGAGAAATTTCGCCGGTTTATTGAAACCGGTCGTTTGTACAATAAAGCAAGTAGCAAGTAATATTCATGTACATGTAATTAGTTTTACAAATTTGAATTTTATTGTAGTTTTTTTAAGTTGTTAAGCGCTGTTGATTAGTGAATGTAAATAGCGCTCTAGAAGTTATTAAATTATTATTATTACAGGACGCCAAGCATTATTTTTGTTGAATAATAACAGACTAATAAAAGAATAAATAACAGACCAGAAATTGCTCTCTTCAAAATGTAAATTATAAATGATCCTGAGAGAATATTCATTGTGCTAAGGATTTCCCTGCTGTACTGTTAGCTCTATACAAGAGAGTAAGGGCGATTCTTTTTTAATTTCCGTTTCGCTAACAAAATTACAAGACGAAAAGTTTAAACAAAAAAAAACTTTGATTTTCTATCTTCTCGCGTGAAGCGCGTGAAAAGTCGTCGTTTTGCTAAGGCTAAACCTATTGCTTTTATTTCCGTTCTCGTTGCCGTCGACAGCGTTGATAGGGAGTTTAAAATAAATTTACAGCGACGGCTGGGGCGGCGAAAAGACGAAAAGTTCGCGTTCTTTCAGAGATCATCGTGATATAAGGTACGGACGAGCTTTCAGAAAGGCACACTGTCAATTGCTAATTTACCTCCAAATGAATGTTTTCATCGATTATTCTTCTGTAAAGCATGTCATCTTCTAAAACATGGTACCCATGGCCTATTCTCTCCGCATGAAGAATATTTAACGCCTTAGAAGAAAAAGGAAAAAAAAGTAAAGAATACAGCAACTGTTAGAAGCTAAAAACAGATAAAGCCGCATTAAGCGCGCATTACCGCCCAGTTGCAGGTCACTCATTTCGTCCAGATAATATTCAAAAGCAAGAATAACGTTTTTCGCCACGAAAGGAAATAACTGATACAAAACGTAGAAACGTTGACGCAAAATGCGATTTTGATGCAAGATGTAATAACTCTTTAACTGAGGCGTCATAAGACTAAGAGTTTTAGACTTACTACAAGTCCGACCTCTCATACGTTCTTAAAAGTGAGTGAAGCGAGCCNGCTCTATACAAGAGAGTAAGGGCGATTCTTTTTTAATTTCCGTTTCGCTAACAAAATTACAAGACGAAAAGTTTAAACAAAAAAAAACTTTGATTTTCTATCTTCTCGCGTGAAGCGCGTGAAAAGTCGTCGTTTTGCTAAGGCTAAACCTATTGCTTTTATTTCCGTTCTCGTTGCCGTCGACAGCGTTGATAGGGAGTTTAAAATAAATTTACAGCGACGGCTGGGGCGGCGAAAAGACGAAAAGTTCGCGTTCTTTCAGAGATCATCGTGATATAAGGTACGGACGAGCTTTCAGAAAGGCACACTGTCAATTGCTAATTTACCTCCAAATGAATGTTTTCATCGATTATTCTTCTGTAAAGCATGTCATCTTCTAAAACATGGTACCCATGGCCTATTCTCTCCGCATGAAGAATATTTAACGCCTTAGAAGAAAAAGGAAAAAAAAGTAAAGAATACAGCAACTGTTAGAAGCTAAAAACAGATAAAGCCGCATTAAGCGCGCATTACCGCCCAGTTGCAGGTCACTCATTTCGTCCAGATAATATTCAAAAGCAAGAATAACGTTTTTCGCCACGAAAGGAAATAACTGATACAAAACGTAGAAACGTTGACGCAAAATGCGATTTTGATGCAAGATGTAATAACTCTTTAACTGAGGCGTCATAAGACTAAGAGTTTTAGACTTACTACAAGTCCGACCTCTCATACGTTCTTAAAAGTGAGTGAAGCGAGCCCCAGTGCATACTTTGCCGGGAGCGGCCTCAAATATCTCTCACTATCCTATTGGTCAATTGTCATGACGTCAACGGTAGAATTTTCGACCGGTGAATTTCGCGACAAACAGGTGGAAAAAGTCCTTTAAAATGGCAAAACCAACCAGGAAAACAATAAAGGACTCTCAACAAATTTCCGGATTTGTGTGGACAGGGCCTCAAAAGCTATTATTTTTAGGGGTGTCAGAGCGATTTTCGTATGAGAAAGTGTTCGTTATTTGTTTTATTAGCCAATGGATGAAAAGATCAAAACATGCACTCTTCGTTTTCCCGCCAAAAAAAACCTAATATGGAGAAGGCATTGTTCGATTGGCCAATCGTGTTGCAGTATGACGTCAAAGCGAAGTATCGTGAGATTTCTAGAAAGTTCTCGAGCATGAAGTTTTTTCACCCGAGCGTTCTCTTAACCAATCAAAAGCCACGCGCGTTTGTATCCGTTCGATAAACCAATCAAATCGCTCTCTTTCCGTTCGTTTGTTGTTTCTATTTTGTTCGCGCGTTTTCATTTCAAGGTCATACGAAAATCGCACTATAAGATACTTTTACATGAGACAGGTCACATGACACCCAGCTGCAAAGGATTTCAAGTGGTCTAGCGGCCTTCTTTTGTTTTGTATTTGCCTAAAATGGTAACTGTAGGCCTAGGAACCTTTTGTTGTGTCTTACTTCTTTGACGCTAGCAGCCGGGGCAGCTTCTCCCGCGTGGACTGTTCTGTGAATTTTCAGCTGTCTGGCCTCCTATATGAAAATAGCAACATTATTATACAAAACATATGTCATAATTCTCTAGGACCATGGGGTGTTAATAATTAATTCGCGTATCCACGTTACACGGCATCAACTTTTAACGAAACATCGTAAACGCAGAAATCGTCGTTGCCAATCGTCCCGCGTCCCGTCCCCACCATTATGGGTCCCTGATTTTTCCAAATAACACGCTCTGGTAAAGCTAAACCAGCGCATTGCAGAGTATGTATTTCTCAGTGTGGGAAATAGCAACCATGCGTCGTAAAAGGTATATACAGGGCTTTAACTTACAACATACCTTAAAAGCATTAATATGTCCTTTCATCGCTGGAATCTCTCCAAGTATTTCGTCTCCGGCCAAGTCAATTCCTACGACACCATCGCTTGAAAATTCTTTGCATAAGGAAAGAATTTCTAATGACCACTCTAAAAAGAGGATTTCAAGCATTGAAAATAAATAAGCAACAGAAACCGACATTTATAATTCTAGATCTGCTTCTACTTTCAACTGTCCTCTCTCAGTACAGTCAATTTTCCGCGGCGTCACACATGACCCTTATTTTCATTTTTTTCATAAGACTATTGGCGCTCGTAAGAAAAAAAAAAAACGTTTAGGGCCAGCGTTAGATCGAAATAGCACTTAGCCACAAAATACCAGCCAATCGGAGACGGAGAAATAAATATTTTGGATGAACAATGAAAATGAGTCGGCCCTTTTGCCGTAGAACTTGGGCCCGTTAGCCCGCAGAACAGGCGCTAGTTTTTGAGTTTTTCAGGACAGTACAAGGTCGTGGTCGAGGTTGAGGTCACTTTCGTGAGGTGGTCGTTTACGAGTGGTTCCAGCTGTTAAGCTTTGACTGAAAAAAAAAATGGTGTTTTGGATCATGGTCGCTTGGGACAGGTGGTCGCACATGGATGTTCGACTGTACTAGGATATTGGACAATTTGCGCGTACAATGTAAGTTGCCCATAAGGCTGGATACAAAGGCTTACCGTTACTGGCGGCCATCTTGGTATCATATGTACCGAGGGGAGCGGGCGTCGAGGTTTAAAGCGGTGGAGGGAGGGAGGTTAAAAGAATAGACCTTTCTAGCTTCGTCCCAAACTGTCCCCCCACCCAGGTAGTTTTGACACTCATCCAAGATGGCCACTCGTAACGCAAAGCGCTCAATCTGGACGATCTTAGGGAAAAAGGGGGGATAGATACATGTTGAGTCAAAACGCAGTATGAGACAATTCTGAAGGACGCTGACGTCCCTTTTTTAGCTATTAGGAGACTACGAGTGGTCCTCAATTTTTCCTCAGGGATAGTAGAGCGAGCGAAACGCGAGCACGCATGAAAATCACCCCACGCGAGAAAGGGGAGACGCCGTCACCCCTTTCTCGCGTGGGGCGATTTTTACGCGCACTCGCGTTTCGCTTGCTCTACTATCCCTGAGCAAAAACTGGGACTACTCTTAGTCTAAGCTATTAGAGACCTTAAGATTCTAGGACGAGAGCGACTACGAGTACGAGATTTGACTTAAACAATAGACACCCCGGAAAGCTTCATTGTACTTCTTTTTCACCAAAAAAAACAAGCACTTTTGTCTTTATTGACAAGGAGGTTAAGCCATCTCTCAGCCGCAAAATGATGAGACCTCCAACACTTTTTTTATAACTCGTTTCCGCTACCACGACATTGTCGCCAAAACTCGTAGTAGAATGACGACGGCTAGCCTACCACGTTTTCCCGCCAAAATGACACTGGTTCACGCGCGCGCTACTTGGTATTGAGGAAATCTCGAACTCGTAGTCGTCCTCGTCTTAAAATCTAAAGCCCTTTATTACAAAATCACAAGGGAAAGTCGGTCAAACACGCTCCAAAGGAAGTCCCATAGTGCATTTCGACACAACACAGACCCACAGAACAGACCAACACTCCAGAAGGCTATAAGGCGAATGGGCTCAAGCTTTTTGCGGTGCAACAATTTTGGGATCGCTTGGATGGACAAGAGTTACTTATGATTGGCTCATGGTTGCCTTGAATACCATCGACCAATCATAACGCTTTTCCACCCACAGTGGCCAATAGAAGGTAAACATATTATTACCAGGCTCCGGTCTCATGCAGCAAAGTATGGACCTAACTTTGACACCAAAGTCCCTCTCTCCTCTGTGCAGTCCTCTGCAAACAGCTTGCACTACATCTCGTGGAGAAACTCCTTTCTTAAGCAGCATATTAGGGACCTCATTATCTTCATCATCTGGTCTCCCATTCATCATACTATTATGCGCTGTGCACAGAAGATGCGGGCAGTATCGCACTTCACAGTACAGTACACCGCTGGATGCTTGGTCTTCACAGAATTCGTGCGCTATTCTTTCAAGTGCAACAACATCATCTCTAAAATGAGAAAAATCATATCAAGGTAATGTCACATAATTACTAGTAATAATGCGAAGCAGTGCAGACGCATCTTTAAGTGGTCCGCCTTAGTGCTAGAGGTTTTATTGAAATAGTAACTGAATTAGTTTAGTCGCACTTCTTCGCAGCCCTTATTTCTTATAATATTGTGATGTGGAGGTGGCATCTCTATATAAGCCTGGTGGTTTCTTGAGGTCTCCTCGCCTAACAACCTGCTGTATCCTGTAAAATGTGCTGTAACAAAAAGGCTAATAAATGATGATGATGATGATGATAACCAAAGGTTACGGAGTGCGGGCGAAAACGATCGAGGATCAAAAGTTTCACGTGACAGATGGTCAAAACACGCGTGATCAAATTCGCGTGATGAGATTTCGAGTGATAAAAGGTCCAAAAGCGCGTGATCAAATTGCGTTCTGTGCATTCCATTCATTCTTAGTGGAAGTCCAAACGAATGCTGGCTTACATACATGCGACGCATGCGTAATAACAACCTGGGCCGAGTTGTTCATAGCTGGGTTAAGATAACCCAGGGTTGGTGCGAGATTTGAATTCAGATTTGAAAGCTTAAAGAGCAGTTCAGTTTTAATTCTTTTTGTCCACAAGTTGATGATTGGAAGCTCTAAAAATAACAGAGAGAATTATTCCAGAAAATACTTTTGAACACCAGATAAAGAAACCCAGGTTAAGCGCTAATCGGCCTTCGAACAACTCAGCCCTGGAGATTAGGATTGTGGGCTCCTCTTGTCGCCCGCAATTACAGGTAATACACTCAATGCATGGTATACTTCTTAAAAAGGATCGTCAATGGGTCACTTCAAGTTACCCAAGGTGTTTTTTTTCAAAGCAAGGCTAAGTGAAAGCCATTGATATCATTTTTTATTCCCATGCACTCAGATGAAACTCATTATTACAAGAAAGGTTTTTTCTTAGCTTTGTTTTGAAAGTGAGGGTTTTTGGAACTGGAAAATATCTCATTGGTAATGCAACCAAAACTACTGTAAATGATCGATTAAGCAGCCCCTATTCAAATAACCACCGCCCTCGAATAAATGCCCCCCCTAACAGAAAATAATTTCATGACCGCAGATATCAAGTAACTGCTGTGGCCCTAATTTGGGTATTTACAAATTAATGCCCCACCTTTCCTTTGTTACGGTGCTTGATATAAAGAGATATCAAAACCATATTACTTGAGAAATATGACCTTGACCAACTCGTGAGCTCTAAAGTTTTAATGTAGGGAAACTCTCGAAACCAGGTTCATATAACAGTTTGAGGTGAACATATTTTATCATAAAATTTGGTGCAAACCTAGTACAGGCCTCAGTTGATTCTCTCTATAATTCTCCTCAGTGTGCCAAAAGTTGAAATAACCAGAGAAGGAAATTAAAAAAAACACAGAACTTTTCAAAGGTTACACTCTTGCCATGGCAACTTGTCACTTGAGAACAATACTATCATTAAATTTTAATTACTTTAATGATTTAGTTAACAAAAATTTATGGTGGAGCACCATTATTTGATGTGTTCACCATAGATCTTCTGTGTTTCAGTTGAAAATTAGTATACTTACATTATCACGGGTACAAATACACGGAAACAGCTTAGAAAGCCTTGAAGAGACGATGGTTTATCCAAACTGACAGACACATACTGTCTAAGCCCATTCTCATCATAAGAAGGTAGAGGTATTTGCTTTTCCCTGAAAAAGAAAGCATCATAATTTTTAGCCTTAAGTATTAATGTTTATAGATTTTTTAGGAATAAAACAAGACTGAAATTGTGTTTAACGCACAGACTTAGAAATGCATGGTTTTCAAGAAATTAAATAAACTTTGTATAAAAGGGAGGGTAGAAAGCTAAAAAAAGGGGTTTTAAGGCCTGCAATAACCTAGTTTGCCTCGGTTCTGTAACTTTTCTTTAGGTGTTAAATTTTTCTTGTAAAATGTTCAGAGTGAGAGAATCGGTTATGATATTTAATGTGCTGAAATCACATGTTTAGGCAGAAACAAAGAATCGAGAGTTAAAAAAACGGAACTGAAGTGGAAAATATGGTCCACAATATGAAGAATACTACACAAACCTTAATCTTTGGCTAATTAGGGGTACATTAATTTGTATACATTCTCATACTTTGCTAAGTCAATGATTGTCTGTATTCTTAGAGCACCATCAAGGTGTACATGAAGTTCTACCTAAAATGAAAGAGAAAAAAAAAACATATTAAAGTCATAGCAGGGCTTTCAATAACTTTTTTCATAAGCAGCTGTCAATAATGGAATAAGCAGCAGTGACTTAATTGCCTAAAATCTTAACAGAGTGCAGTAGAAGGCCCTATCAGTTGGCAGTAGACTGTGGGAGGGGGAATACTCCCCTATATGGACTAGATAAGTATGTGTGCACACCCAGTAGGATTTGTTATTGGTTTTTGACAGTCTCAATCCTTAAAAAGAGTATCATTTTTGCCTTTGTTGGCAGTTGCCTGTATGCATATTACATACCACTTGCCTTATCCTATGTCAGCAAGCTACAGTCTTGGACAAATAGTTGTTGCACTTTCTTACCAACCGTGGATTTGGCGCCACTATGGTACCTCCTCTCGCCCCACCCTGGTCAGCATTGTTTAGTCGGGGTCAGAAATGATCCAGCCACACTTTAACATTGTTTTTGTAGGGGGGAAGGGAGGAGTATTTGTAGTTGCCAGAGCTTTCAAGAGCCCTATATCTTGAACCTGGACATGCAATGGCAACGTCCATTTTTCTTAACTCTTCTCCGAGATGCAATGGCAACGTCCATTTTTCTTAACTCTTCTCCGAGATTGTAACCTATTTCATGATGAGCATATTAAACTAACACTTCATGTATACAATGAAGCTAGTTGCTCAAATTAATGCGCTGAGTACCAAAAGTGACCAACATTGATTTTCTCCTAACAACAACAAGTAGCAAATATACACATAATCAAGGGAATATAAGTTATGAGAATTAATATGATATGATCCTTTAAAACTCTAATCTCATTCTCTGCAGATATGATGTAATTAAGAATGGGGAATTTGTATGTGAATATCGGGGCTTAAAGAGAAACGAACTCAACAACCATTCCGCAAAGCTTGAGCTTACCTTTCGAGCAAATGGTTAAAGGCAATACAAATTCATTTTCTGGTCAGTGAAAGTTTACGCAAACTCGCGGCGTAATCGAATTCGTGAGGGCAATGAAAAAATACCAAAGTGTAAGGTAAGTTTAGTTTTAGTAACTGCAGGATTGCTGTGCGTTGGCCTAAAGATTTCTGCGAGTTTCATGTGTTTTAAGTTTCTACGACATTGGACATGTGCATTGTTAGACTTACAGTTATTGTAATTCAAATCAGCATGAAGATGGGCACAAATAACAAGAAATTAAACACGACTAATCACTTGACGTCTTCTAAAAGTTTTAAGCCCTTAACACGGTTAAAAAGGTAAAAAATTAAAAACAGAGGTCTAATCAAACAGATGAAACACAAGACTTTATACATGTATATGGAAGTTCGAACATGAACAAGAACTTTACGTTCGATAACTGTTTAACAGCGTGTTCTGGGACTTATAGAACAAAGACTTACTTTTGACTTGGGCAATTTTAATGCCATAACAATTAGCTACTCTTTCTCCCGTGCTTATTTCACCAGACGACAAAAATATCCAAGAAACAGACAGCAACTTCCCATACCTTTCCCGGCCGGCTTCCGTGCGAAGGAATAACTTTCTGCTGTTTTACCCAGGCCTACCTCCTTCTCGAAAAAGGGGGCGGTGGCTGGGCGGTCACACACCTGAAGCGTGACTGGCGCGTGACAAAAATAGTGAAAACAGTATTAACAAATTTTAAGACTTTTTATTATTGTATCTATTTACAAGATTCTGGGTCTTTTATGACACTTATTTTTATCATCCCAAAGAGAGAGATCGTAAAAAACACATCCCTTGAAACAGTTGAAAGAATCGGGTCTAGAAAATTCTCTTATGATCTAACAAGTTATTAAATTTTAACTACAGGGAAGGAGGTCGGGCCTGCCTGGCTTTTCTGACCATTTTGAAACCTTTTTAAAACGAAAATAAGATGTATCTTTTTCGATGTTTAACTTTCAACCTTTAAAATCCGACCGTATTATTTATCACCCATGACAAAAATATTCAGGCCCCTACAAAGAAAGAATCAATATTCATTGTGATGCAAATATTAGAACTACGATGTTTATAACGTCACTCAACACTCAAGATGTCTGACAGGAATATACAGTGTATTTGCGCAAGAGATTGCAAGAGACGGTAGACGTAAAAAACCCTGTCCAAGCTATTTTTTCACAGCCCAGCCGATGCAAGAAAATGATCACCATGAGGTTGCCTCGTCGTGCTTGGAAGTGGTACATGCGATGTTTAGAGAATCACCCGTGGAAAACACAACTCATTTCGACAGGTTTGAGCGATCCTATTCACGCAGTTGTTCTTATCGAGTTAACCTTTACACTCTACTCTTGTTTGATGATCTTTCAGTATAAAATTATAAATCCATAATTTCCAATTACGTTTCCATAAAAGCTGATTTTTCCGAAAAACAAAAATATGGGAAATTCGCGCTCTGTTCTGCTGACATTAAATGTCGGCAGAACATGTACTCATAATTATGGGTACATGTTATTCGCGCTTCGATTGATCTCTCGATCGGTAAAAGAGTGTTCATTACAATTAATGAATCGATATTTCAAAGAATTTTTCGACCGATGATTCTCTAAAGGTTTCCTACGTACTTTGACCTGCACAGTTGTAAACAAAGCTGTGAATAATTACGGCTGTCGTAAAATATGCAAATACCATGGCGACCATGTATTGCTAAGCACAGTACTGCACACAGTTCACACGAGTTGATGCTCACTCTGCTTTAGTGTTTAACGACTTCTATCCACGCGAAAAATGACGAAACAGACCAATGATCATGATAAACCTTCACCGCAGCGGAGTGAATTCGTAAAAGGTCAATTTAATGCAGTGGAAACTTCTGCCTGCGAGTAAGCGGACGCTATTAATTATCGGATTGGATTATTTGCTAAAGCGTGGCCAGAAAAAAACAATCGTTCTCAATCAAAGGGGTGCGTCATTGGGCCCTAACTATATTTGGCCGATGTCATGCGAAAGCAATTTTAATGGCATTTCACTAAAAAAAAACATACGTCTTCACAGATCATTTAACATACTGACTTGTTAGTAAAACTGCAGATCGAGTTCCATAGAAAACCGTTATGAACGTTTGGTAGTAGTCGATAGCCGCAGGTGGCCAATTTGTATGAAGAAAAAAACCCACCCCGCCCCCACCTGGGAGAGGAGGGAAGGTGCACACTCACCACTTTCAAGGCACATAAAAAGTGCCCTTACAATTAGGTGCTGTATTATACATAATGATGACCTTTACTTCTTTTTTGTTAGGAGCTCTCCTTGGTGCGGGCGATTTCATTGCACAACAATGCGTGGAAAAAGTTCCCCTACGAGAACACGACGTCATAAGAACAGTTCGAATGGCAGCCGTTGGAACTGTGGTGATTGGTCCTATATTCCACGTATGGTACGCAGCACTAGACCAACGATTCTCCCATAGAAGCCCTGGAAATGCCATGCGCAAAATGACAGTTGACCAGAGTATACTAGCACCAGTCTTTCTCGTGCTATTTTATGGCGCTGTAGGAATCGTGGAACGTCGGACTATAAAACAGATCAGCGACAAAATATACGAGGAATTTTACCCCAACATGGTCGTTAACTACAAGATCTGGCCCGCCGTGCAGTTTCTGAACTTTTACTTGTTTCCAGCCCATTTACGAGTTTTAGTCGTCAATGTTGTGTCACTGTTTTGGAACACCTATCTGGCATGGACTTCTCACAAGGAACTGGAATATTCAGAACCTTAATTAAAATGAAATTTTCGATATAGATGCCATTGCAGCAGATGTACGCCCAATGTTCCTGCTGGGTTAACCTCAGTTTCCTTGCCTTATTTTAAACCGATTGAGACTGGAGTCCGTTTATTCTGGGAAAAACAATACGAGACCAGAAAGATGAAACCGAAGATTACAAAATCCTCAATTTTGGTTTTTATCGGGCCTATATTAAACGAGTTAAAGCCATTCCAAAAGAGATCCGGCAATCCATACATCTCTTAGTAAATATTGGCCTGATTAACACCAAACTTAAGAATTTTGCAAAGTTCGGTGTACTCTTTCTGACTATCTGCGTCACGTATTGTTTCTCCCATGATACACGGACTCGTACCCAGCCCTCCTCGGTTTGAAATTAGCAATAGGCCAAACTAACTCAGACACCCCACCCCACCCCCCTCTGGCATTCGCTCAATGGACGATCAAAAGTAATACGTAATTAATACCCTAGGGATAAGAAAATTATTGTACAAATGGCGTCAGATAACAGAGGGTGCAACGTTTCCGCCTATAACATCATTGTGATCTATTTCAGTTCTTCATATCATGCTTAGTCTCAATGGAATAATTATTGATATTCAGCGATCTCAACAGGGCAAAGCTGGATCCAATATAGAAGCCACCGGTGGGCATGCATTATATGGCCTTTAAATTAACTCTCTACGATATCGAATATGTATGGATTGTTCCGTATCTATTATTGATTATAATTCAATATCGTTATATCGATCGTTTTGACCTTTGTCTTTGTACAGACTATTTGGGATGGAATTACACATTCCCTTCTTATTATACATCATGATCATGATGATCGTCGTCATCATCATCATTAACATACTCATCATCACCTGAACCGTCATCATTATCATCGTCATCATCATCATCATCATCATCATTGACATCGATCCTGAAGCAAAATTTGTAACGCATCAGTTTAGAAAACATTATTTAATAAGGAAATTAAAGAGAGTGCTAGTGGGTATTGTGAATTACTCTTTGATTTTAATTTTTGAGTCTTGAACCACACTGCCGTGAAAAAAAAAAACAATACAACTGCGCTAGCCTAGTAAAATTTTGCTAGAGAGACAACACCATGAGCACCTGCAAGCAAAACAAGTCTAGTACAGTGAAAGCTCTATTGAGCGGACACCTTCGAGACCTTCCCAAGTGTCCGCTTAGTAGAGGTTTGTAAAAATTGCGCGATGTCTGTTAACGATTACGTTCAACGGTTGATTAACTTCCATGTTGTTAAGGAAACTAAAGAAGCTAAGGAAGCTGTGCTGTACTTTGCGCAAGACTTGTAGGTGAAATTTGATCGCAGATGACAATTATACTGCCGGATATCGGTCTAATCTACAGTTTATTGACAGCTAAATGTATTTGATTTCAAGGAAGTACACCAATACTATTATACTCTTGTCAATTCAGTCCAGTGTCCGCTTAATAGAGGTTTTTTAACTATAGAAATTAGCCAAATACGATTTACTTTAGTGTCCGCGTCCGCTTAATAGAGGTTTCACTGTAATTCCAACCTAGCCTGCGAGCAAGCTCTCCATTTGGGCCTATCGTGAAAAGTAGACGCGCGCAGGAGCCGATTAATCGGCTCCTGACGTGCGAGAGGCACGCGAGAGGAGACACGAAAGCGGGGGACGGCTTTGCCGCTCACTCGCGCGTTCTCGCGCGACTCGCTTCGCTCGCCCAAGTAGGAGAGCTTGCTCGCAGGTTTATTCCAACCAAGTCTCGCTAAATTTCCCCAAAATGTGTCTAAAGAATAAATTAAATAAGCAGCTACTGTGAAGAGAATTCCTGGCTCAAAATCTTTATGACGTTTGATCAGTGTACCACCTTGTGTAGTATTCCCAAGGTTTTAGCCGAATTTTTTTGTGCGATCTTTAGGAAACTGGGTGTCTTGAGTACTTTACATCATATCTTGATAAACAGTAGTCCTCTTACCCAAATCAATATATCATGTGATTTCCTCAAGGGAATTTGAGTACACTAGACACGTGAAAAACACGCATTGGCTACAATTACAGCCAATTAAGTCGGTATCAATATCGTTCATTTCTCGTTAATAACTCTTCATACAGTAAAACTGTGAAAGGTTTGAACCCAGGAGTCATTTCAAAAGTAGGTTGAGTTTGATCGTCCGGGTGAACGTAATCCGTGAACGTAGGAGCGCTGTTGTTGACAGTGACTGACGTTTCGACAACCTGTGCGGTAGTCATCTTCAGAGTCAAAGTGAGTTGTATCACGTAGTCCTCCTGATCCCAATCAAATCTTCATACAGTGTGGTTTGAGATACAGTGACTTATCTTCCACCACCATAACTAGAGCCACAAGCAAGGAGCTTTCCTCAAAATGAATTCGAGATGTTTTGAAGTCATTACTTTCATGCTCATCATGTCTGTCCGTCCAGCTGTTGCTACTCCTTTACATATTTTGCTGATAGTTGTGGATGACTTAGGGTGGAGCGACGTAGGGTTTCACAACCCACAGATCAACACTCCGAACCTAGATCACCTTGCCTCTGAAGGAGTAATACTGGATAATTACTATGTACAACCTATTTGTACGCCAACCAGAGCCGCTCTTCTTACTGGATTGTACCCCATACACACAGGTAAACGAATAAAGCGAGATTGGTGCTTAGTAGTTTAATACCTTCCCGGGGGTACTCTCTGTAATGACCCATACGGGGAGACTCCACCGGAAATGGGTTCGCTTTTTAGGTTCCAGGTATATGAAAGGGTAGGGACTGTCATTTCGGTCTGTAGAGGAGACCAAAAGGAGAAGAACACAACAGAAGACGTCGAGAAAACGTTCTCGTTTTGTGATTTATTCGTCAGTACATTTGCAGCAGTTAAAAGTGGTGCAATGTGCTATACTTGGTATGTTAAAGGGGTACCATTTTGTTAATAGAAGGTACACGAAAGAGGTACCTTTTCCGTCAAAAGGGTAAGGAGTTGGTACGTCCTTTTCGCAGAATTTCCCACTTGCGATAGAGAGAGATTCCACACACGTTGGTTCAACAATCGAGGACTGTATACTTTCGTACAAATCTGACTTTATTCTTCACAATTCAACATTACACGTTCCGTTCTACGATCGATTTCAGTCAATCTAACTAAACTTTCCAAAAATGCTGCGTATATTAGCTAAGGAAGTCCACACCCAGAAGCGTAATTCCGGCGTGGTCACAATAATCAAATGGGGTCTAAGCTCTTTGCTCACGTTTAACATCGATTCGTGGGCACTAATTTCAACTCCCCTTAAGCGTGGGTTTACGTGACAATTGTGGTGCTAATCCTTATGTGCGGTTAAGCTAGTAATACCCGATTAAATACAACATTGATTAATTTTAATTATCTTATCCCACGATATTTCCTGTTACAATCTAAACAACTCTGTTAGCAGTGGCGAGATTATATAATGGCTTACTTAATCTATTGAAAATTTGATGAAATAAGAAAATACAATCATAAGCATTCTAACGTTTCACAGCAGTCATTGGGTTAGAGCCTTCCCTTACAAAGCTTTATAAGGTGTACCCCCCCTCCCCCACCCATGCATTAATTTAGCTCGGCGTAGGTCAGTGAAAGCCATTTTCATTTCAACTAGACCCGTAACTTTGTGACCTCGGGGTTCCCTTGAGCAAATTTTTTTTGGTCCAAAAAGGTTCAATTGAGTAAGCTACACAAGAAATCACAGTTATCAAAGGTCACGTACATCGAAATAACTAGAGTCTAAATGCATCAATATCTGCAAACGATGCTTGCCCCATGACCTTAACATATTGCATTGCAGTATAAAATTGTATAGTAGAGGTCATAATATGATAAAAAAGCGAGATATAATCAGTAACATCAATACAAAAGCAAAGACCAAGAATATAGTCACACAAAGCTAATTAATTAACTCAACTCGTTTTCTGTTTCTTCTTCTGTAAAGCAACTAAAGCTTACTGAAATATGGAGGCATTCGAAATATCCTAGCACTATTGCGTTAATCAGAAATTAAACACTCTCTTCAAATTTCGTTGGTGGTTCACTACTTCGAGAGGGCCTCCAAATAAGTTTCACTCGGAAGAGTTTGTTAGTAAGTTGGACTTGTGAAGTCGGTGAGTTGAACTGAACCGTTGCAAATGCAATGCTAACTGATGTTGGTCTACGGTACGTTTTCAGGTCCAAACACTCATTATTTTTTTTTAACCCTATGAGATTCTGACAGAAAAAAAAAACAACACAGTGCCGTCTGGTTTACGTCATATAAAAAGGTCCTGAATTAGACTGTTTTTTTCAATTATTGCTCCTGATATTAGGCATGCAAAAGGGAGTCTTACATCAAAAGCAGCCATACGGACTGCCTCTTAGATTTACTACCTTGTCACAGAAACTCAAAGAAGCAGGTAAGTCTATAATTACTCTGTATCATTATATGGCCATGTCTCAAAAGGACTGGAAATTAAACAAACAAATTCAAGATTTTGATTGGCTAAAATCGATCTTGACCGCGGTCTGGATTTTCCCATCTAGACCGGCATGTAGACCGATCTTGTTGTAACAGTTGTCCTGAAAAAGTTACAAACAAGAAAAAAAGAGAATGAGCAAAGTATATGAAAAAATTGGCTTGTTCCTGTTAATAATACTAAATGGAAGAATCAGTGGACCTTCACAAGGAAGCAGGTAAAGAAAACGAGCAAACGTTGGCAAATTTGAGTCCTGCCGAGGAAGCTACGTGCAAAGATGAAATCGAAATTGATTTTTTGTTCCTTTGCTTTCTTGTTTGGCCATATAATAAACATGTTATTATTTAAACCAAGCTAAGTCGATCTGTATGGGAGAATCTTGTCCTCAGACGCTGGTACAGACCTCACTGCGTTCGGTCTGTACTAGCGACTTCGGTCAAGATTCTCCCATACAGACCTCCCGCTCGGTTAACAAGAACTAAGTATAAACGTTCTCAGACAAATAAAAAGATCCGACCCTTAAGTTCAAGTCGATAAGCTATGGAAGTGGAAGCATAGCCTCGATTAGAGCTGCTGAGCGGAAAATGAGCCTGCTTTCCATCCCCGGTACAGTACCCTACAATAGCTAGCCATCTCCCCTCCTCTTCCCTTTACAATGTGTACGTTGTAAAGCCAAAAAGATTCTACTCTATCTTTTTCGCTTTATTGATCTTTGTTTTATATTTTCTTATAGCTAGGACTGAGATTCTGCTGTCTGGTAGAGAGCCCACTCGTTTCTGGATACGAATTCTGAAATAATATAAAATTCATTTAACACATTTCTAACCAACAAACGGCCGACATTTCGCAACGTTACCACTGGATTTCCCGCGAAGTGACATCAGAGAAACCAGCGCAGAAATTCCATACTGATGACGCGTCACTACCCAGATCTGGCCAATAGTGCTTCCGATTGGTCGTGCCTCGAGAGAAATTTGCTTAAACCAATTAGAAGCTGGCTACCCAGGTAAGGGCAGTGACACGTTATCAGTATGGAATTTTTGTGGCTCGTTTGCCATCCCTCGACGTCATGATTTCCCTAGGAAACCACCGGTGACGTCGCGAAATTTCAGCCGTTTTCTAATCTCAGGCTAACCAATTGCTCCTGCAAATTATTTTTTCATTCCAGGATATTCTACTCACATTATTGGCAAATGGCACCTTGGCTTCTTTCGTTGGCCTTACACCCCGTTATACCGTGGCTTTGACTCCTTCTACGGTTTTTACGGTGGAGCTCAAGGTTACTACAGCCATGAACATGACGGAATCCTTGATTTGCATGACAACAAGAAACCCGTACGAAATAAGCGTGGAGTTTATTCGGCAACGCTGTACGCTGAGGTACTCACAGATCTTCCGGATCCAGATTGTAAAATAGTACTGATTACCAAAATACAGTGGAACCCAATAATATAACTTTTTTTTTCCATAAAAATTTGACCTTATACAGCGGTTTAGTGTCGTATCTTCCCCCAAGGCGATGGCTGTAGGGCTCAACTTTTGAAAGGTTTACTGAAAAGATTGTCTGAGTTCGCGTCCAGCCTGAACTCAATGCAAGCGCGGTGTAATCTCGGGTTGTCTTTACAGCTATTTCGGAAAAGTACAAGCGTCAATCCCGAAAGGTATTGTGGGTGGTTTTTAAGTGCACTGTTCTTCAAAGAAATTTAAAGGAATGGCAAGGGAGGCCAGGGACATTTGTTTGCATGTGCTAAAGGAAAGCAACAAAAGTAGGTTCGACAGCTACAGTCGTTAGGAACGGTGTATTGATCATATCCCATATTACCTTTCCGGAAGGTCGCGTGCACATTTTTTTTCCGACAACCTTTCTTGAAATAGCTGTATACATAAATATGACGATAGTGTGCCCTACAGTTCCCTACTTACATAAAAAAAACACTTGACAAACTCGTTCAGTTCTTTTTGCGGCAGTTTTGGTGGTCAAGAAATGCTTTGCGAGGAATCTCCATGGCAGAAGCATTTCTCGTAGAAACTGGTCAGTAATTTCTTTACGCACGAAACCCTTAAGAGGTTTTGAGAACCCGTAATGTTAGCTTCAAAGTGCGAGCGAAAATCGACCTAAGAGAACATAATTTCCAAATCAGTTTATGACTTGAGTTTCTTTTTCTATTAAACAGCAAGCAAGGAGAGTGATCCTATCCCACAATGCATCCAAACCCTTGTTTTTATACCTTCCATTTCAAAGTGTGCATGGACCATTAAGTGTTGATCTAAAATACGAACAGAAGTATCGAGGAATTCGCAACAAAAGGAGGCGAACTTATGCTGGTATGGTCGATATTTTGGACGAAGCGATAGGAAACGTCACACAAGCTATGAAAGAGGCTGGGTGAGTCGTCAACGGTATAAGTTCGTTAAAAGAGACTTTTCACATTCTAAGGCAAAGACGCCTACGAGGGCGAGGTTTTCTCTATACCAAGTAATGCGCGCGCGTGAACCAGAGTGGCGGGAAAATTAAACGTGACGACAAAAAAAACAAAACAATCTCAATGCCTAAACATAGTCTTCAATAACAAAACAATTGACGCGGAGTGAAAAGACAGCCGACAAATGACGTCTGAGAAACGAGCGAATAAATTCCATACTGATGACGTGTTACTACCCAGATCAGGGAAGTGCTTCAGTCTGATTGGTTGAGGTAAATTTCTCACGCAACACGACCAATCAGAAGCACTACCCAGGTCTGGGTAGTGCTTCTGATTGGTTGAGGCAAATTTCCCAAGAGGCACGAGCAATTAGAAGCACTACCCAGATTTGCATAGGTAGTAACGCGTCATCAGTATGGAATTTCTTCCGTCACTCCTCGGGCGCCACTTTGCGGGGAAACCAGTGATGGTGTGTCTTACCTTTTTAAAAAGATAGCAAATAGCTTGACATAGTCCTCCAAACAACACTTCTTATGAAAAGGTTTTACTTCTTTGCTTTCGTTTCAGTCTATGGAACGACACCTTGACGATTGTAACTACTGATAATGGAGGCGATCCTGGTCAAGGTGGATACAACTGGCCCCTCCGGGGACAGAAAGGCAGCCTCTGGGAGGGAGGGGTCAGGGGAGTTGGTCTAGTTCATGGAAGGATGCTTCAAAAGACTGGGGTTAAGTGCAAGGAGCTCCTTCACGTCACTGACTGGTATCCGACCCTTGTTAATCTTACAGGTAAATTAAAAAATTTGTTAACTTCCATTCAAGGACATTGAGGGACGCAACTAACTGTGCTCCAATTCGCAGATAAATAGAAAGCTAAAACAAAAATATATAAACAAACCCGAAGGACAGAAGGTGAATAAAACTGTGCAATTGCCACTTAAACTTTTTTCCCGAGAATTTTTTGTCAAAGAAAATGGGATGTTTTCCCTGATTTTGCCACACGCGAGAGCCATATTAACTGCTGCCTGAAAAACATGGTCGTATAAGACCAAGAAAGATAATTACTTTAACTTATTAAAAGGAAACACAAATTTAAGGAGAGAAAAGGGCACACGTCTGGTTGACGAGCGTCGCTCAAAAACGATTTCGCTTTAGTTCCAGCAGCAACAACAACGGCTCATATTTGCATGACCGTACAAGTACCGTATTGCAAAAGCTACGTTACTTTGGTAATAATTTGTCACGAACATCAAAGCAAGCTGAAATATATCTTATGAATTGTATATTGATAAAGTAATTAGAGGAGTTCATGGGCACTGCGTATTATCCTTCGTATATTATAGTTTGATTGCATATATCTACCCAATTCTATCATTAGTTTGTGATTACTTATTCGTAGTTTTACTAAAGCCCTTCACCCAGCTGTTCCTCTTGTTAAGTGTAAGTAATTAGAGGTGGTATGATCGGTTTTAAAAGATCTATAAAATTCAAGTTTTTGAGAATGTTGAAGGGTGTTTTGCCAGTTTGAGATATGTTCCTATTCATTGAACTTACATTAAGCTCCATACTGTCTTAACCCAGGATGGTCTTATTTTGTTCTCCTTAATTAATGACTACCAGATCGATCTCTTGACCAAAGACGCACTGACGCTGCTATTCGACAGTTGGATGGCTTTAACATTTGGCGCAGTTTATCCGAAGGGGATCCATCGCCACGAAGGGAGATTGTGCATGACATTGGTGACCATAAGGCAGCAATTCGTGTTGGAGACATGAAGTTGATATTAAATCAAACCGATAGGAAGAGGTATATCCCACCAGAGTTGGTTGGAAGTATTCCAGCTGGGCAACGAAAAAAGGTTATTATAAAATTTCTTTTTAGTTGAGAGTTTAAAGGGGCTGCATTGTGTAACAGTTGCCTAATTCATTGTTAATTTAGCCAATTACGCATCCTTTTAGCCTGGTTTTCACTAGCGCATAAGCATAAGGACGTACGCAAGCGCAGAATGGCATATTTGGCTCAATTCTCAATACCAGCTCTCCTCAACCCGACGATAACCAAGATGGCGGACGAAGCGTCCACCATATTGCTTTTTAGCGGAGCTAAAAGCACATGAGAAAATGAGCGACAGTGAAAAAAAAGTGAACGAGAACACGTACGACATTTCCTCCATAAAAAAGTTTCTTGAAGTTTCACGTTGAAGTCGTGCAAAACAACGGCAATAAAATGTACCAAAAAAGTGTGCCGCACGTACAAAGTTGCTTTTTTCTAAATAGACCTACTGTTGTTTTTTCACCGTTCTCCGGTGTTGCCTTTGCCGCTTAGCATTACACGATTTTATATTTTGTTTGAACAAACTATAAATATTATTGAGAGCTTCGCTTTTAGCCCTGGCTAAATCAATATATTATATGTTCGTATGAGGTCTTGGTCAAAGTAGTTTTCACTTGCTTACACCCATGTCCTTGTGCTTACACTTTTGCTTATGCGCTTGTTTAAACCAGGCCTTAGGGGCCATTAAACTTAACAAAAAAAATTACTTGCAAGCCACAAAATGACAGATTCTATATCTTTTCCAACTAATACAGTTCCCAAACATTATACCAAATGTTAAACCAACCGAAAAAAATACACTTTTTAAGACTGCCAAGTTAACCCACCGCAATTTCAATCCTTTTTAATCTTCTTCAAGCTTGTCCATCTCTGCCTAATTTTGTCTTTGCTGTGTTCTAAACCCCTTCTTTTAATGTTTGAGCAATTACTTTTTATGTTTCAATCAATTTGGTGGCAGTTTGTACTGTTAGAATTTAGTTTAAAATTTGCATCTCGTGTAACTCTTTTCTAATAAGTAACGTTTACTTTCGTTAGTCACAATAAATTTGCATAGCTGCTGGCCTCGTGATCATGAGTGTAAACGCTCTACATTTAGCAGAAACAAAACAATCTGGGGCCCGTTTCTCGAAAGTCCCGATAATTAACGGGCCCGGTAAGCTGTCTCCGTTTACATTAAAGATGGAGGTTTCAATAGTTTTGCATACAACACGATAAAACTGTCAGTTAATGAAACAAAATGGAGTAGTTTGCTAGTCAGGACCCGCGCTCTTATTCTTATATTTCGATTTGAATATTTGATTTAGGGCCCGTAAAGTTACCGGGACTTTCGAGAAACGGGCCCCTGGTCCCCTCTATCTCTCCCCCGGTAGGGGCTGGATAGGTTGTTGGTTCCTGCAGGCTCCTCGGGCTGCGACACTATTTAATGAAAGAGAGTTTGGCGCCGATTCTGCGAAGAGTTTCGGTTATTGTAGATCTGAGTTTTCTTTTATTCCGGTGACAGAAACAAGCACCATGTTCTATTTATCTAAACCATTTCTTGAAACTAAAACCCATTTCAGTATTCAAATTCACCGTACCCTATATGTAAGGGAATCCAAGCTGGCAATATTTTTAGGGCACTTTCCATTTATCAGAACTGGCCGGCCGGACCATTGCCGGAACAGTAAGTTTAATAATGAATTAGGCTTTTTCCAAGAGTTTTTGCTGAAAAATCATGATCTCCTTTGGTGCATACTATTCAGGATTTGACTGATCTGACGGGAATGGTCTGGCCGGTCAGTTCTGAAAAGTGGAAAGCCCCCTAAGGCTCGATTACAAGCCGCAATTCTGAAAATGAGCCCGCACTCCCCCCACCCCCCACCGAACAGCGGAAGTCGAGCCTACAACAATCTTGAATTCGGGATTCGGGATTCGGGATTCGGGATTCGGGATTCGGGATTCGGGATTCGAGATACTGGATTACGGATTCCTTGTCAGTGGAACTTGGATTCCGGATTTCAATCGTTATACGGATTCCAAAGCCCAGGATTCCGGACTCCAGAAGCAAAGTCCAGATTTTCTTGCGTAGGGCGACACTCAAGCACTTCCTTTCTTTCTTTTATACCACCACTAAAAACACTAAAAACCATTTAAGTATTCAGAAAGTCACTTTTCTTGCAATTTCTACCTCCAGGGCAACTGTTGCAAAAAATTTATTGATGTGGGCCTTTACAACATTACCGCCGATCCATATGAGATGGAAAACCTTCGTAACAAGTTCCCGGATATTGTGGAGGCATTGATGACTAGGGTGGAGTACTATAGACAGGGTGTTGTACCCCCCGAGAAAAAGTCTTCCGAGAGTAAAGCAAGGAAAGTGGCTCGTCGGAAGGGACACTGGGGACCATGGAAAGATTGAGGATTCACTGGTTTTTTTAGTGGATTGAAGTGCTAGTGTACACAGCCAGGGCGGATTGAATAAGGATTAAAAAAACTAGCATATAGATTTAGACTGAGCTAAGAGCGATCTTGTTAGCACTTATAATTTACTTCAGACAGTAAACTTGGAACCATTGCAAAAAGAAATCCACAAATCTATATTTAACTGAAGGGACGAACCATGCGACTTTCAAGGACAACAAGCCTAGTCAAAACACCTTGGTACACTTGGGGAAATTAGGTGCGAGGACCCACTTTGCTTGATTAACTCGTGTTCTACCTCTTAATAAAGCTTGGGAATGTTGATATAAGCTAGAGGCTAATTCTTTTGTTCACCTCTCCCCCAAGCAGTGTTGAATTTATTAAAACAAACTTGAATGCATAACGTCAACACTGCATGGGGGGGGGGGGGG